GGGGAGCATTGATTCTTATTCATAGTGTTTTGAATTCTATGCTTATATTATGTCTTCGTTTCCAATGCTTTTGAAGATAGAGAAAAGAATAGACAAGAATTCTTGTGGCAATGGAACAAAAAAGGAAAAACTTTTAATATGGTCAAATAGGGCAATGTTACTTTAAAAAGGAGGGCTGGGTATCAAAAATCTAAGAATGCAAAACAAGAGCCTCTTAATGAAATGGCTTTAAAGATTCATTGTTGAAGTCAATGTTTTAAGGAAAAACACAATCACAGTGAAGTATGACCTCATGAACAACTGGTCCACAGATAAAAACAATCCTTCACATGGGGCTGGAATCTGGAGAAATATTAGGGCATGTTGGCCACTTTTTTCTACACTCATTGGTATGAAATTAGGAAATGGAAGAAGGTGTCTTTCTGGTAGGAGAATATGTGGCATTCACCTCTTAGAGATCAACTCTCATTCCTCTATAACCTTGCTCAAGATATCGATCTTACTGCTGCACAAAGTAGGGCCTTAACAGTAAGAACATCACTTTCAGAAGGAACCTACATAACTGGGAGTTACACAATATTTCAGAATTTCACAGCATCCTTGCCTCTTTCCAAGGCCTCAACAACAGAGAAGATCAGCTGAGATGAAAAAGAAAGGGCAATGGCACATTTACAGGAAACCCATGATACTTTTTGTTGCTTAAAGAAAATAACCAGACTACCCAGGGACCATGTAANGTTTTAAATGTCTATAAATCCTCCTACTTCAAGACTTGTCGAAGTGTAGAGACTTTGCTGAATATCAAAGACTGGACTTGAAGTATTGTGAAGACTATCTATCTATATATATATATGTGTGTGTGTATAATATATATTTTTTATAAGACTACTTATATATTAGTATCAACATTATGCAAAATATGTGTGTGTGTATGTTTTTCTTACATGTCAATTAGTCCAAGAGCGAGCTTCTTCCAGTCAACTCAGTCCATGATTTGTAGAGTTTNGCATATATGCTGGCATCTGATGATGTGTTTGGAGAGAAAGGACAAAAAGAGTTTCAGAATGACAAGAGAACTCCCAGCTGAAAATCAAATCTGATTGTGTTCCTTTGATTTCTTGTTAGCATAAATTAGAGAGGGTAAATGAAGCAGAAGCCATGCTACATTTCATAGAGTAGATAGTTGTCAAGGTGCTTTGTTTTTTCTTATCTCTCTTTTTTTTTTTTTTTTTTTTTTTTTT